CTTTCCTGTTTTTTTTTCTGAATTTCTGTCCCTTGTATTTATCTTATGCATTATAATTTTGTTGAGCCATTGAGGAGCTCACAAGCTTAATTTTCCGCCGAGCTTTTTTGAAAAACCGCCCTGTGTGCGGCGGATTAATTCGTTATCGGACGACGAAGTAGTCCAACAAGAATACCTATGTAGGTACTCCCGTAGTATTCGTACCGAGCACAACCTGACCATAGTATGTGTACCAGGGGTTAAGGTTAGTGCGCCATCTTGTTACGAATACTACGGAAGCCCCTTCCTATGTATATAGCTATTGACGTGTTAATTGTTGCTTGCAGCTCTTCCAGCAAAACTCTTTCTACTCCATATAAACACGCGACATTTGAGCAAACTTCAAACTACTTTACTTCGATACAAATCACGGAGCATTCGTAGTAAACTTTGACTTAATTGATAATAAATACGACAAGAATGATTTTATGATTCAAGGAAATTTAATTTCTTTACGTGGGCTTGCGTTTTCGCACGTTGATAACAATAACGGGGATGAATGTTTGATAAAGCGGTGAGTGGGCTATTTTTAGGCTTTCCATACGGTCCCGCTTTTTAGCGTCTTGTCCCGCCGTCCCGACAAGTCAGCCAAAAGTCCCGTTTTGGCGTTCAGCCATCCAGCATAATACACGAACATGTTCTCGTTACTGTTGTTTCTGTGTAGTGCAGCGCTAGCCTACTTGGTGAAGGTGAATGCGTTTGTTTCGTTGTTTCCCGCTAATATTGTTAGCAAACGTATTGCATGTAAAACCAATACTAATTAGTCTAAATTCGAAATATTTGTACCGCTATCGTTAACGTCAATTCCTTTCTATTTTTCGAACTAAACCCTATATTTGGACAGAGAATATGCGCATGAATTCTCGATGACAATATGGTCAATGAAGACAGCCGGGATAGCTTTAAATGTAGGCATATATATGTAGTAAAATCGGAAAATGTAAAGTTACAAAATCACAGCTAAGGGGTCATTGTCTTTAGAGGCGTTCCACTTTGAAGTCACGAAAATATGATAACCCTAGCTGTTTTCTCTCAATGCTCTAAATCGCTGAATGAAGCCCCAGCCATGAATGAAGATGAGATAAAATTTTTCTCGCTTTTAAAACTTGCCCAAAATTATGTTCCGAGTCGGTTAAGTCTCTATGATGGTTATTAGAGTGTTGTATGTAATTGTTTTTTACTGTTTGGATGAAATACACATGACTTGATATCCCGAACCTTTGAAAAATCTGACTCCAAACGATTCTATGCAGAGCATACAAACACGTCCCCACACAATACGAGTCACTGTTAACTCGTTTAAGGGGGAATCCAGAATGTCGCTGCATGATAACCATCTTTGGTTCTTGGTGACTCTCCTGTAAATCTGTGCAATTATTATTTCTCGAAATTTGTGTGCGATTTTTTTTATTTCTGGTTGAAAAAAAAAATTGACTAACGCGGTTTAAGGCTCTCTTCAGGGTTTCCTCACTTACCGTACCCAAAATCCCTTTTGCGTGCCGTTTTGTTAACGGATCGAAATAGGGATATATGTACGTTATCTATGTCTTTATATGTAACACTGTTATTAACAAGAAATCGTTGAGTCACAAAAACTCTGGTTTTCCAAGTTCTAATAGGTTATGGATCTCTAGGCATACCAGGTAGCCATTTTACAGAACGTGGTCAATTCAAGATAACGAACAAAACGATGAGAGGTAGGCTAAGTGGGCGCCAGATACTTCATCAAAGCTACTTGCGAAAAAACGCATTGCTTGAAGATGAACGTAGCGTGGTTCCCATACCATACACATCTTTCCTCTTGTTATTCTGAGACTACGGTACCCAATTTCTTTGAAATTTTTAGTTGTGGAAGAATAATCTATTTTTGGTGCTCCCGTAGTATTCGTACCAAGATGGCGCACAACCTGAATATAATATGTTTACCAGGTTAGGTTTAACAGGTTGTGCGCTATCTTGGTACGAATACTACGGGAGCGCCCTATTTTATTGCGAGAAGGCTATTCATTACTTTGGTCTTTTTCATAACTTTCTTTAGGCGGATGTTTCTGATTTCGGGAAAAAAAAGGTTCTTAGACCGTGTTTCATAAAAGTTAACAACTTTAAAAACCGAAACAACAAATATTTATGAGCGAAGATTGGAGGAACGCCAAAGCTTTTTATTAAATGCTAGAATAACAGATGTAAATTTAATGAAGATTCTTGATATTTCTCTGGAACTCCCCCCAGTCAACACCACACGATCAATTATTAAATAATCTATTGAATCAATTTCATCAAAACAGAGAAAAAAAATCACACAATTCAGGATCCTATACATGAAAATGGCGGAATGAGAGAAAAGTACTGAAACCCTCATTTTCTGAAAGAAAAATGAAGGAATAAATGAAAAAGCAAAGAAAATCAGATTTTTTTCACATGAACCCAAGGAGAAGAGGAAAGCATATTAGATTGTTTTAATCATGATCACCGCTCATCCTATTACAAATGTTTATCGAGGAGAGAAAAGTTAAGATGGTTCTATCATTTGGCAAGCCATGCCCATTTGACTAGTCTTTTTCTACAGAAAAGGGGAGGAAAAGTGGGTGATTCCCCTAGGATTTTTTTTTGCTTTTTGCAGAAATAAACAAATGAAATACCCTGAAAATCACTATTCCTATCAAAAAATTCAAGAAAACCGTAAAATACAGCAGAATTTCATTTTTTATTGGAAAATAATGACAATTAATCATTTCTGCTGAATCAGCATAATCCTGTCAGCACCTTCATTCTATACAGCGGCAGTCATTGGAAATCAAATAAAAAGTATGAAAGATTTAAGGATTTGAGAATATATGAATTCTAATTGTTGTCAGCATCTCGCTGTGATGGCAATTCGTTCAAGCATAGCCATATTTATTACTATTTTGAATAAATTCTGAATTAACAATTGCGCACACGGGATATCGGTGACCGTACATTTGAACCCACGTACATTTGAACCCATGCGTATATCCACGGGTTCAATCTATATGCGGGTGCTAAAACCCATGGGTTAGGGTTAGTATGGGTTCAACTATCCGAAAAACAAAAAAAAATTCCATAGGTGCAATAGCATACAGGTGCAATTGTCATGGGTTCAAATGTACGTGGGTTCAAATGTAATGGAACCGGGATATCATATACATTCTGATGAGAGCTCAGGACATCAGGAACACCCTGTATATCAGGATGCATTTCAAATGATGTCGTTACACTTGCAGAATTATGAACACTTTATTCAGATCAAATTATTCTGCCAGGTGTTATTCTAAGAAATGTCTCATTTGAACATTTAGTTATACTGGCAGAATTATGAACACTTTATTCAGATCAAATTATTCTGCCAGCTTTTATTATAATATAAACTGGACATTCACACAATAATCATATTTTTTACCAGTAGGAACAAATCTATGGTTCAATGCGATAAATATCAACATCCTTATTAAATATTCAAAAACAAAGAATTATTTGGATCCTTGTAATCAGTACGAAGTATATGACATGGGCAAATGATTTGGCAAATAAAAGGAAAGTCATGATCGCACTTGATCAGCAAATAAATTGGGTCTTGTCAATTACTGGAAAGAGAGAAAAGGCAGTTAGGCGAAAATAGGTTGTGCGCCTTAAAACATGGCCCGGTGAATAATAACGGCGGTGCCAATCACTGCACAATAAGTAGGGTATTATTTGTATATACAGTGTGTCCATAAGTTCCCTTTACAATTTGAATTTTGTTATGAAGTCTGCTTTCAATATATTTTAACCAGGTTTGTAGTTTTTAAATCAGTTATAAGTATTTTTACTTCACTTGATACATCTGTGAGCGACGAAACAATACATGATATCGATGAATTCTCTTTGCAATTTTAGGAATTTATAGACACCCCTTTATATCTGTATATTCTAAATTGGTTTGACAAAAAGCCTGCTGGGATTAAGTTGGTTGAAAATCAGGAAAAATTGGGTTCTGAAATCATTTTCTTTGACGATGTAGTCTCTTATCAGGTCATTTTTGAGTCCGAAGATGTACACGTTGTAACTGCTTATGACGCCGAACAAAAATGTGATGTAAAAATACTGCCCAAATTTCAATTTTTTCAAACAAAAGCCCGTCTTTTGCGGTACGCTATAGGTACTGTATTTGGCATGGGAAGTACTCGCTGAATTGAAAAATTTTACATCAATTTTCTGTCTGGATGTTATTCAAACACGTTCGGCGATAATTTCACATCATATTTTTGTCTGACTTGACCGGTTTTCAAGGAAGTACAGCGTTTTCTTCCATAGACCCACATTTCCTGCATTGGTCTCTTTCCAGTAATTATCAAAACTTCTGCAATCGCACATAATTATCAAAAAAAAATGATAAAACGAAATTTTAAACTAAAGAATTCTTATGAAGGATCAGGATGAGCTCAGTAAATCTTTTGCTACTTTTTATAATGACATAGACTCTGGTCAGTAATAACTAATAGGGAGACTTTGGTGCACTAAATGGATGATATGAAATATTTATGAAGATACCAAGTTTATGCATGTTATAGGCTCAAAATTATTTGCTAATTTTCAATAATAAAAAAGTTAATTTGTACATTTTGGCCACTTTTTCCATAATAATATAGGTTAGATCTCATACATATGAAAGATAACACTGGATTGGGACTCTGGTCAATGATAACTAATAGGGAGACTTTGGTGCACGTAATGGTTATGATGAAATATCTTTAAATAGTACCTGCATGACATGGACTCAAATTTTTTTGTCACTTTTTTAATAATAATAATGTTAGATTTCTTATATTTGAAATAAAAAACAGTACATTAGATGGTCAGTGATAATAAGACGACCTTGGTTCACCTAATGGCTAATATGATAAATACACAAATATACTAAGTTTTCACAGATTATGGACTTGAATATTTTTGCTATTTTTTAATAATAATAATTGTTAGATTTCTTATATTTGAATAAAAAACAGTAGATAGGTTGATCAGTGATTATAAAGAGACTTTGGTGCACCTAATGGCTGATTCGATAAACACATGAAGACAGCAAGGCATCGCAGATTATGAATTCAGAATTTTTTGCTATTTTTCAATAATCAAATAGATGTCAGATTTCATATATTTGAAAAAAAAACAATAGATTGGCTGATCAGCAATAATAGGGAGACTTTGGTGCACTTAATGGCTAATATGAAAGATCTATAAATATTTGCAGATTTTGCATTTTCAGGTTCAGAATTAATAATAATAAGTTAAATTTCATGTTATTGATTGGATTATTAAGATGGTTATATTATATCTGAATCATGACATCAGTGGGGACTAATGGTGTCTTAACTTAAGTAAAGTCTGGCTTGTTATCGCAGACGTTTGAGTCTAGAGGTAGTAGAGGGTCAAAGGTCGCACCAGATTACACAGAGCATTTGGTACTCCCGTAGTATGTGTACCAGGTTAGGGTTAGGCCATTATTTTATTCCGATCTTTCTTTTTTTAGTTCTATCACGAGTTCGGGGACTGTCTGTGTTAGCCAAGTGAATATACCCCCTGCCGATAAGTTTCCGTCCTCTTACACAACTTGATGTAAAGTAGGCGAACAAAATTAGTTACCTCCATATTGGTACAAATACCTCTGGAGCGCCAAGAATTCTTGATGTCAGAGTCATATTTTTCAAAGTGGAGTTAATATTCTCGATTCAACAAATTCGTAGAAGATTTGGGTTCAAAGACCGTAACTACGACTTCACGCCGAATGCAACAAATTGGGCGACAATGACAAAACTTAGGAGAAGAATAACACATTTATCCCGGGGGAAAGGAAAACCGATAAGGAAGCTTAATAATACGGTGAACCACGGCCTCTCATCCAGTTACCAATCAATGTCGGGTAATGGAATTAGTTTGCCAGTTATTTGTTTTCAGATGTATGAACTTACAAGAAACGTAGTATCTCTGTGCTTATTAATACCCGTTTGTTATGCCTTCTTATGAGCAGCGGAGGTTACCTAGATACTGAAGGGTACTTTAGAACAGAGTTTCCCAAACTTTTTTGGGCGGCAACCCCTGTTTGTAAATCTTATATTTGACGGACTCCCATCCTATGCCGTATCGATTCATGCACTTAACCAACGACGAAGGATAATGCGAATAAATCTCACGAAAATTTGAATTAATACATACTTAATGCAAACTTTGAATACTGGCAGGCTAATGGTAATTCGACAAGATTATGTTCCAGATCATTTCCATATAGTTACGAACCCCCTGTGAACTTATCACGAACCCCCAGGGGTCTGCTGACCCCAGTTTGGGAAACCTTGCTCAAGAAACGGAAAGCTATAGAGAAAAGAAAAGACCATTCCCTGGCTAAAAATAACAGTAACTTCCTTTGTATCAGTGGCTCTTCATCCTTATTAAAAACAGGAATGTGAAAAACATTAGTTAGTTGAAGATTATTTCCAATCATGTCCGGAAAATTCGCCGTAGGATATTTCGCAGCATAGAAAAATCGCAAAAGCATTTTGTCTAAAAATAAGTATTTGTCATTAAAACTGTTAGGTTTATAGGGTTAGGTATGCTTTAAATAATAAGGCGATTTTTCATACATCGATTTTTCCTATGCGACCAAATTTCCTGCGGCGAATTTTCTTGAACCATTTCCAATTTTCCCATGAAGCAATGAATTGATTTAAAACAGTTTATAGAGTTTGGGTTAAGGTGTGCTATCAAATACCGAATCTTTTTAAAATAAGGCGTTTTTTCATACATCGATGTTCCTATGCGGACAAATTTCCTGCGGCGAATTTTCTTGAACCATTTCCAATTTTCCCATGAAGCAATGAATTGATTTAAAACAGTTTATAGAGTTTGGGTTAAGGTGTGCTCTTAAATAACGAATCTTTTTAAAATAAGGCGATTTTTCATACATCGATTTTTCCTATGCGGACAAATTTCCTGCAGCGAATTTTCTTGAACCATTTCCAATTTTTCCAAGAAGCAATGATTTTATTCCAGTCCTGACCCTGGTAGCTGACACAAACAACATATATTGAATTACTTCTTAAGCTCAAACAATCAGTTCTAATTAATAAACCCAGGATACTGGAACCCATTGTGGAGTTGTGCATACTTCGTCAATGGCTCTCTAAAAATAAAAAAATGTGATCAATTATTTATGAATGTGAGGGTTTTCAACTGGTTTCCGCGGAACACCAGGGCTGCATCGGTATGTTTATTTGCCTCAAAAAATGTAACAATATCTGCATAATATTTAAACAGTAAAACAGAAACGGGATACATGTTGAAGACTCCCAAATCCTAGAATCCATTGTTTGTATATTGTTTAAATATGCTCAAATACCCAAGGTTTGCTACTGTCATTTAACTAAACATTTGTTACTATCATTTCCGAAAACATATTTTAAACTTCAAATGCAATAGCAAACAAAATGTGGACAATGCTTAAATTCATGAACAGCAATGCCAAGCATCGATCCGGCCGGGCGACTGTATTTTTGAGAAAAACTACAAAACTCAGCTACATGCACTATTCCACCATTAAAAATGTTTGATCAATTTTTTATGAATGTGAGGGGAGGACAGTGATCTTCAACCGGGATTCTTTACATTTAGATTTAAAGATATTGTTTAAATATAATCAAACACCTATTAGGTTAGCCCTTATTACACTTTTATAAATATCTTTCGTATATTCAAGCATTGTTATTATTAATGTACCCCTAATCCCACGTCACCCAAATATGGTCATAATTCTTGTGTATAATTCTTTCTTATACAATTCTCAATCATGATGGATCCTAATTCAATATCGCCCTGTTAGGGCTTAGTACTTTTGTGTGGTTGTATTTCACCGTTACTCTCTTATAATATTCTCAATATCGATGCACCCTCCTCATTCAATGTCGCCCTATTAAGGTCAATTTTGGTGACAATTTTATATAAATTGTATCTTCAAATCTGGGCAGGAAAACAGGGGTGTAGCCAGGAAATTTTCGAAGGTTGGGTTCTGAAATTTCTAATTGGGAGGTTTTGAAATTTGTAATTGCCAAAAGATTGCATTACTGGTAAAAATAGTTCCACCTTTATTAGTCAGCGGTCGACAGTACAGAGAGCCCTGTTCGTACCGAAGCGGCGAAAAACGTTATACAAACTTCCGGTGCACAAAGTTTGATACACAAACGCCATCAAAATGTTTCCATGGAATTTTAAATACTCCTAACTAGAGTCAAATCTGGATCTGGTCTTGATAAACCGGGTGAGTTTTAATTTCGCAACAGCTAGCAAGCCGGCAAATATGGGTTTCCAAGAGTCTTGGGCAGGGGTTCTCAATCTTTATTGGCCGTGGGCCAAAGTTAGAATCGGAAGGATGTTCGCGGGCCGGAAGAAACATGTTTGTTCAACTCATAATGGCGCTTTATGTTGTATTGCCTCAGAACTGGAATAGTTCGTTGGCAAAGTGGACAAATCGCTTAATTTTGATTTCATTTAATACGAGTCTTGTTTTTATTTGACATCTCGAACCTTTCTTACACGGATGAAAACTAAATTACTGCCCTATGTAATCCTAATACCGGTACGTATAATTGTAATCAAATTTCTATGATAAAGACGAGCTTAAACTGTGATAATGACATAATAATTGGCGGTTTCTAGATTGCAAAAAGGTATAGAAACAAAATCTGTTTCACTATTCCACTTGAGCTCGGCGGGCCATTTTAAATCGTTACGGGCCGCGGTTTGGGAACCCCTGGTCTTGAGTGTCTAAAAAGTGTTTCAAGCTACGAAAAATTGCCATGTATGATACTGAAAAATGTTTTTTCAACATTTCCAAATGACCCCCCCCTGGCTATGCCCCTGCTGAAAAACACTGATTCAAAACAATATAAGTCTCAATTTTCTTGCCCGGGGAAGGGACTTACCCTTAATTTATCAATGGTATCATCTATATCATTATTCACAATTGTCAAATCAAAACATTGTTGATACGATTCCCGCAACGTTTCCGATTCGTTTTGAAGTCGAACAAGGCTTTCGTCCTGGAATAGATGAAAAGACATTGGTTGTCAACCAGGAAATTACTTGAAGCTTCAACCCCTTAAGGGAGTGGTTCTTCCTTTTTTGAAACCATTTTGTATGACTGGAAATACCGAAACTAGGAATATTTATAACTATCATAAAAATAGTGGCATCTTACAGAAATAAAAAAAAATATAGCTTTAGCAAACTTGCTGAGATTTTGGCGCTCCAGAAGTTTGTGTACCAATATGGGGGCAACTAATTTTGTTTGCCTACTTTACATCAAGTTGTGTGAAGGGACTGTAACCTATGGGCAAGGGATCCCCGAACTTGTAACAGAACTAAAATAAGGAAAATCCGAATAAAATTATGTGCTAACCCTAACCTGGTACACTTACTACGGGAGTACCGAGATTTGAGCTCATGTCTCTATGACAGAGAAAACCAATTTACTATGGAAAAAAATATTAATTCACTCACAGGTAAATGCTCACACCACGGTGGCAACTGTCTCCAGCAAAAAGAAAAAGTTCACAATTGTTCATATTTAAATAAGAAAACCGTGACCGCCAGTGTTCACTATCAGAAAATTGTGAGTGCATAGGCGCCTCAAATAGCAAAAAACTTTAAAATTACTGTGCTTAGCCATTTCCGAAAACATATTTCACTTTGCAGAGAAAACTTCAAATGTATTATTAAGCAAAACGCAAGAGAGCAATGTCAAGCATCTATGCCGATCCAGTTAGAGAACAGTATTTCATAAAAAACTACAGGCTTATACCAGTGCTGCAGTGTGGCTCATCGTGCTAAGCGTTAGGAATACGTTCGTCACCGCATCTCTGATTACTCTGCAGTTCGCTGGTTCGAATCCCATGCTGGGATAGTTATGTGCGACAGGATTGCTAGACTCCTTGCCGTCGTAGGGTGGTTCACGAACCGCTGGTCTGATACGGCTTTCTCCACAATCAAGTCCATGCTCCCAAAAACAAACAACTGGTAATCCCATACTATCCTTGGAATGGTAACCGGACGAGAGGCCGTAGTTCACCATATGGTTAGGCCGTCTTATGGACCTTCCTCTCCCCCAGGATAAATATGTAAATCCTATCATACAACTGTTGCTTATTTAGTTAAATAATAAATTATTCGGTTTCAGCCATCCCTGACCGAACCCATAAAAATATAGAAACGTTACCTCGCTTCCCCCAACATTGAGACTTGGTGCTTGGATGAAAACTACAAACGGAGCAAATTCAGCAGAACGAAGAATCTTCAGAGCCTGTGGGAGGAAAGTAGAAATGAGGAGTTTGAAGAGATTAACTCTAGAAATGAGGAGTTTGAAATTTTTGCTTTTAATTTTAATTAAATTTGCTGGAATCGAGGTCACATGCATACATTCACTCACAAATGAAGGAGATACAGCCTTCCCATAATTACTTGCGGATTTAATATGGCCCGCCAAACTTGAGTGAAATAGTTTAACACTTCTAGCCTTTGAAGGCGTTCCCCTCTCCCGGCAAATATCCTTCTGTTTCTAATTTTCCGTCAATCAACTTTGCGAACCACTGCTCTAAGCTTTAAGTTATAGACTTGGTACAATACTATGCAAGACTATATAAAAACAAAACAAGATGAGCCATACTACTATCTTTCCATGAACAGACCTGTGGCTCGACATCTAATATTGCGATCATGTCTTCGTTATGAATTTTGCGAATTGTATCGAGTTTTGTCCCATAGAGGGCGCTCTCGTGCGTTCCATACTCCAAATACTGAAATGAAAATAATATATTAGAGAAAAATTATATTGAACATTGTCTAATGATACAAAGCTACCATTTTCGATAGGACCGACGTTCAACAGCTCCGGCATTGCTCACCGAATTTTTTGACGCTGCCCTGAAACTCCAATCTGCAATAGTTTACACAAAACGCACTAGACTGACATTTCCCAACCGGTGGGTAGTTCCCTGTTAACTTCATTGTATTTCAGGCAACTAGTATTTTCCCAGATGGCTGAGCATGACCTGTGACGTCATCAGTCATAGATGACTGATCATGACCAACCAGCTGTGAAGGTGAAGTAGCCATGCTCTCTGTAGTTGAGGGCTCATTCTTGTCGGCGTTTCTTGAGAGTTACTTTGGTTATGTTTATGGGCATTTACTAATTATACGTTTATACTCAGTTAACATTAAAGGGTTGCTAATGGGGGATAAACAAACTGACACGCAGTAAACACAATGAATGAGTTTATATACAATACATCACACAGAGCAGAGAAAGACTCCTAAGCTAATTTTAATGAAACTTATTGTAAATAGGTTTAAGGAGGTGAAACACAGTTGATGGGCAACCCGCTCACCAGAGACAAGACGGCTAATTACACAAGTGGTCTGTTGTCCGTCTTGTCGCAATTTCTATTGCGCCGTTTTAAACCTATATGATTGTAATTTCTATGTGGTAATTGACTCCGATGACCACATGGTCGGATCGTTGCCATCCAGTCTGTACCGTGAACTGTTTTGCTTTTTATTAATTATGTTTTAATAATAATAATAATAAACAAATAAACTCTCTCTCTCTCTTCTATCAATCTATGAGTCCGCTCACCTACAGATGCATTAAAGTAACTGAAGAATCAGATCAAAGCCTCAAAGTTCAGAGTGAACATTTATGAAAATTCAAGATACTCCCTAAGTATGTGAACCAAGATGGCGAACAACCTGAACATAGTATGAACACTAGGTTAGGGTTATCAGGTTGTGTGTCATCTTGGTGCACATACTTCTGGAGCGCCAAATCCAACACATACATGGTTATTCTTGATGTCTTCCATCATCTCTTCTTGGGTGACAAAATAATAATTCTTTCCTTGGATCTCTTCCGCCCTCTGTGGCCGAGTTGTATCTATAGCAACGAAAAATTGACTTTCAAACTATTAAGGTTATGGCTCTCCTCGGGGCATGGTTCCTTACGTAACATTGGTTGATTGGGAAAATGTTGAAGATGGCATAACAATTGGAGTTACAGATTTACGATTGAAAACATCGGTCCGTTTGAAAGGCTATTTGCAGTTACTAGTTGTGATTTCGAGGTACAAATTGAATAACACAATGTTTTTTTTTGTTTTCTAAAGAGTTTATTTAATACTTACGAGGGATAGGATAGCTGAATCTACTAGGTTGCGTCGTTATCAACGTATTTTTAATATGGCGTCTCCCAACTCCATGAGCGCCTGCAAGAAGAAAATGGCATATTCAAAATGAGCAATTTAAAGAATGTAGACCAAATATTTAAAAAAAAAGTTTGCTTTAACCAACGTCACATGCACTCACTCAGAAGTAAAGGAGACTCATCTCTGAGCAAAGTTACAGGCACTCACTCAGAAGTAAAGGAGACTCATCTCTGAGCAAAGTTACAGGCACTCACTCAGAAGTAAAGGAGACTCATCTCTGAGCAAAGTTACAGGCACTCACTCAGAAGTAAAGGAGACTCATCTCTGAGCAAAGTTACAGGCACTCACTCAGAAGTAAAGGAGACTCATCTCTGAGCAAAGTTACAGGCACTCACTCAGAAGTAAAGGGGACTCATCTCTGAGCAAAGTTACGGGCACTCACTCAGAAGTAAAGGAGACTCATCTCTGAGCAAAGTTACGGGCACTCACTCAAAAATAAAGGAGACTCATCTCTGAGCAAAGTTACTGGCACTCACTCAGACATAAAGGAGACTCATCTCTGAGCAAAGTTACGGGCACTCACTCAGACATAAAGGAGACTCATCTCTGAGCAAAGTTACGGGCACTCACTCAGAAATAAAGGAGACTCATCTCTGAGCAAAGTTACGGGCACTCACTCAGAAGTAAAGGAGACTCATCTCTGAGCAAAGTTACGGGCACTAACTCAGAAATAAAGGAGACTCATCTCTGAGCAAAGTTACGGGCACTCACTCAAAAATAAAGGAGACTCATCTCTGAGCAAAGTTACTGGCACTCACTCAGAAGTAAAGGAGACTCATCTCTGAGCAAAGTTACGGGCACTAACTCAGAAATAAAGGAGACTCATCTCTGAGCAAAGTTACGGGCACTCACTGTCTGCTGGTGTATGTCAGCCTGTATAGATAGCAAAGCCTACGGAGTACGGCCGAGGTCATCATGACGACCAGTTTAGTCACAATTCGGATTCCTGTACTTGGGAACACTCCGAAAAAGCTAGCGAAACACAGTTTGAGAAACGCTGATAAAGGCTCTCGAATATGTGTGTGGAAACTAGCATAACTTGTGGACTGTACTGGCAAAACCGGTTGAAAACGGCAACAGAACAATCTAGCGAACGAAGCAATCAGCACAATCAATTATTAGAGCCATTACTCGATAGACCATCAATAATGACTATCATCAACAAGAGCAAACTCACCTAGAAGAACAAGAGTTTTCCTGGCAAATGAAGGTATTTTAACAACTTCTTCGTACGTCATCAAGTCCAGTTGATCAAAAACTAAAAGAGTAAAAATTATTTTCAGCGAGGATCAAACATTTCAAAATCATTGTTAATAGTTTTTATTGGAAATTAACCAGTGGTTTTCAACCTTCACACAGTGAGGAGCCTTTGCCTATATTTGGTGGCAGCGTGGCTATGCCAATGAAAACTAATAACTAATCCCATACCAGACATGGACTGGTAACCGGAAGAGAAGCCTTGGTTGGCCATATGATTAAGAACAATAATAAATAAACTAACCAGCATTATGCTTCGCCAGATATTTATCCTTTTGTTGTTTTTTCTTTTTCCCAAACCATGAGCTTCCTTGGTGTTCCGCTTTCGCTCGTTCCATAGCCATACACGCCACCCTCCTGGAAATAGGAAGTATAAGTTACCCCTCATCTCACCCAGAATATACTGAAGCGGAACGGGAAACGCCAAACGGTGAAAGATTTTAATCCACATTCAAAATCTTAGGCTCAAATGGCCTTTCCACCATCTCAGCCAATGTCCGATAAACTGATCACACCAAATGTGGGCAAATTACGGCCCATCAAAGTGTTTCATTCGGCCCACTTGTGTCTGCTGGAATTACGACTATAGTTTTTATGAATATAAATTTTTTGTTGAAAATATCGATGAAAATCATGTCACAATGACCCCCATTGTTACATTGTGCTTCTTATTATTATAGAAATGTTAGCTGTTGGACCAACGTAAATAAACAGTTTCTTATTCATGGTTTTTCATGTATGTATGTATGTTTATTCGTCTCATAATAGTGATAAAAAAATAAATGAACGATTATTATTATGTAAGACGGAATGCATGCACAAGACCGTACTGCCCTAAAACACAAATGTGCGACATGCACCCTTTTTTAACAAATATAAAACAAAAAACATTGGATTAAATATGCATAATATGGTCTCTTATATAGACAGTTGTGCAAGGTGGGGCAATGGGTCGTTTGGTGTGGTGAAAGTGTTAAGGGTGGAGTATACAAAACTGTTTATACAAGGGAGTTTATAAGACAAGACAATATATATAAATAGAGACAACACAACACCAAATAAACATTACATAACAAAGAAATCAAAAATTAGGAGCAAATACAGCGCCTTTTTCATATTGAGTTCATAATGATTATTCAATACAACAAAAAAACAATAAGTGATACAGTCATTTCTACAGACAGTTGGGCTGGAAGGAAAACCAATAGCCAGGGGGTTTATGACATAACAGGGGTGAATGTTGATGCAACGATCAGGATACTATTGTTCACAGAACAAATGTGTATTTCAAACTCTGTAGACTAATTGCTACGTTTCGACAGACTGGGGTGAGACTTCTTCAAACATGCATACTTTAACTATCATAGACTCTTGAATTAAATGGCTTAATACTTGGTACTATTTACCAAACGAATGTTTGTTTCGAGCCCTGTGGATCAATCTGGTAACAAACCAGCAAGTGTATTTCGATCGCAGAGTTCAAAATGAATATTTATTCTCTATACACACCATTCTTGAAGCTCTGGTGATGGGATTAATCCGGCCGCTGAATCTGGAATGTTTATGACACGGGCTTGCCACCAGTTGTGATCATCTTTGCTGATTATCTGGCAGTAACAAAAATAATGGGTTAATTGTTTAGAGCAGGGGTGAGAAAAGATCTTTTTGCAGACAGTGCAGCATTCACGAAGTCTATTTTGCAAAGGGCTGCATTGAGGAATTAACTGTGACATCACAGATACTAATAATTTTGATATTTCAAGAAGGCGATATTACCCCCTTCATCTAAATTCGCAGCCCATCATATATCATTCACTCCCTTGAGGGCGATGTTGCCCACTTTAAAGTTCACTGTTATAAAATACTATTTGTATAGAAACATGGTGTAGCCAGAGGGGAGGCTGGAGTATCACATCTCCCATTTCTGAAATGTAAAATTTTTCTGTATCACACACAACAATTTTTAGTAGCTTGAAACGCTTTTTAAACCCTCAAAAGAAACCTATGTTTTCCAGCCTCTGGCAGAACCTGCTAGCTGTTACAGTCTAACTTGGCAATTAAAAATTCGGAACCCCTCTCTTGAAAATTACTTGATACACCCTTAATAAACACTCAAACCTGTAGTATATCTCCGGTTCTGAATGAGATGCCGGCCTCTCGACAAGGAATCAGCTCGTCATTCATTGGATCATAGTCAAACTGGGCTCGGACGTAGATCTGTAGAGTAGCAAGAAAACAATGTTTCATACACCAATGTATGTTGTTATCATTTCAGTGGCTCTTGGATCTCCAAGTGGTCGTTTGAAACTTTGCTCAGGGATGAGTCATATTTATTTCTGAGCGCATCACTATAATTGTTTACAGTTGCAGTAGTGTTGTTGTTAAAGAGTATGTGGTTTTGTTGTTTTGTAGAGAAAACCTGCAATTGACTTTTTGAATCCCGTAAAATTGCGTAGGAAAATGAATGGATCGTTTTGTTAGCCTTTTTTAAATCTGGGAGAGCAATTTTTTGATAAAATTTACTTTTAACCAGGCGTCACAGCTGTAAATAATTTAAGAATCATTGGTCTAATAACAGGGGTTCTCAACCTGGTGGTTGGGACCGGGGGTTCAGGAAGGTGTTGTTAGTGAAAGTCTGTTTTTTTTAATTCGGCTCAATCGGGAGCAAAATAGAATCATATCTGAGCAAAGTTAGTCTAAGTCTCTCTAAAATAAAAGAGATTTATTTATCTCTGAGCGAAGGCGACCACAGGAATGTCAAATTCTTCTGATGCTATTGAGAATTACAGAGGTGAATTTCTCATTGGTAAAACTATGAGGTTTTCTAATCGAGCAAACATTCAGACATGTATGTAGCTTACTGGTAATATCATAGAAAAACGGTAACTTTATTGTTAAAGTTCATATATTTATTGAATGAGACTATAGTACCAGACCGCGCACTAGAAATCAGGGTAGATTTTCTGATAATCAAAATTTCCCAAAACGCATTCATATATCACAATTGCTAAGATTAAAAGTAAACAAAAGTATTATTATATCATAAACACCTGCTTATAAACGTCTCCAGCATGTCCATTAGGCAGCTTGGTAAAGATTTAAAAAAAAACTGTCAAACTCCAAAAACTACTCAAATGATCAAACATGTAAAAAATCACAACCTATTTTTTACATGGCCTACAACTAGTAAAACGATTGTTTGACTTTGTTAATAAATCACATTCTACTTTTAGTTAAAACTGTAATAGTTATATTTTCATCATCTGTTGATCAAGATGTCTCGGATTCAAATCCCAGGGACGAGACCATTAAATTTTTGGTGCTCCAGAAGTATGCACACTAAGATGTCGCACAACCTGAATCCTAACCGATACACAATACTATCTTCAGGTTGTGCGACATCTTGGTGCGCATACTTCTGGAGGTCCAATTTTTTTAACTTATCCGCCAAAGATTGAGGCGAATCACTAAATTCATTTTTATTGAAGCCAAATTTTGAAATGCAATTATAACATACGACCGTTCTTAGTGAGTTATTGATGAAACATGTTGCTCATTGTGCTTGAACGCTCAACAATCTGTCTGGGTAATTGATTCCATGTTTTCAGTAATTTATGTGTCTGGAGGGCTCATCACAATTAAAGTCACATATGATATCTTCCAAGTATTCGAAATTTGATTTAAAAAAAAATTTTGATTCGATTCTGAAATATAGAGTATTCGGAAACGGCCAGTCCTAAGGTGTTTAGGGAATATTCAAATAACCCATGCATTATTCAGAACGTTGAAAATACACAATATGACTGAAATGTTGCAAAAAAACGAAATATGAAGGCAGGCTACCAAACTTTTAATATCATAATGAAAACCACACGATGGCAGTAGACATACCGTGTACTTTAACAGAAGCTAAAGTAGAAAGAAGGCATTAACAGATAATATCTAGACTTTAAGCAGGGTCTCTCGATTGGATGGAGTTTCTATGACTACAGTTACTGCATGAAACATAAGTGTTGAATAAATTTACAATAGGCTCAGAATAACCTTTGGAAAAAATTTAGATAGAAATTAGGAATTGAAAATAATGTTTGACTTGAGCACTGTAGGTCAGGGGTTCCCGTGCTTTTTTCAGGACGACCCCAAAGACAACTTTCAAGTGTCCAGTGTGGTCAATATATATATTTTTCATGAAACTTTAGAGCTTCTTTCACTGGACTTTTGAGTTTGGTCATGTGGTGGTATTAAGTAAAATAAGCTGAAACCAAAATATGATGTCACAATGAGCACCTACATTTTCTATAGCATAAGCATAGAGCGATGCCTATAGGCCTGTTTTACAATAAGCCATGGTACAAACCGCTAAATTTAACATGGTTTGTCAAATCTTAGATGTTTCGTACATCCATCCTCGACCATAACTCAGCGACCCCACCGACCCCATGACCTGTTTGCGACCCTACCTACTTATCACTCCGACCCACTTTGGGGTCACGACCCCTGATTTAGGAACCCCTGCTCTAAGTTATTGTAAATTTCAACTCTGTATCCCGAGTCCGAACTTCGGTCAGGACCAAAAAAAAATTTTGATGACATAAGAATAGCATATTAAGCAAACTTTTTCATATTAAGCAAACTGAAGGCTTATTGAACTTAATTTTTTTTAATTTTCTGTAGGTAATTATGCCCTTGGTTACTGACAAATAATAAAAATAAATACTTACCTCACAGGATGGTGGCTGGTTTCGGTAACTCGGGACAATTTTGAAAGTTATGTTGCCGCGAAGTTCTTTCTGTAAAATGCAGGGTAGAAATTCAACATAAGTTTATTGTTCGAGAAGTCTAGGAACAGTTCTGGTCTTAATGGGTTGACGCTTCATGTTAAGCAGTAGAAACACGTTTTCAGGTTCGAATCATGTGGAGGATAATGATGTGTGAGATTATTTTTGGACTCCTCGTCACCTGATAAGAATTGCCCGCTCCTCGCTGTCGCCCGAGAACCGATATTCGGTTCCGACTCTCTCCGCCATCAAGTCCATGCTTTCGAAAACAAAATACCTTGGCAAACTAATGCCATACCCAGCATGGACAAGTAACCGTACGAAAGGCGGTGATGATGATAAATCCATATTATCGGCTTTTCTCCCCCTCAAGCTAAATATGAAAATCCAAACCTTACCAGCATTTTCTGTAGAGAATCAATCGTCTGGTTTGCCACATTCACACTGTTTATTTCACGAATTTCATCTCCAACATGGAGGGTACCTGGTGAACATAACAAAAATTTGTGAAAACAAAGAGTATTACCTAATTAGAGTGTTCTAGGGCAGAGTGCCCCAAATTTTTTGGGGCTGCAGACACCTGTTTGTGAACCTTATTTTTGACTGACTCCATCCTATGTTGTATCAATTTCTGTGCCTAACTTACTTGGAAGGATAATGTTTCATTTGACGAAATAAGTAGGAATCAATACATACTAACGTTGAATACTGGCAGGCTAACGGCAATTCGATAAGATTACGATCTATTTATATATGTTTCAGACCCTTTTCATACTGTTGCGGAACCCTGTGCAATCATTACGAACTCTTAGGGGTCTGCGGAGCACAGTTTGGGGAAACCCTGTTTTTACTTCCTACTTCAGGATTGTATGCGTCAGTTGCTACGAGGATGCCTGAACGAGATAGTATTATAATTTCAAATCCACCCTTCTCCAATGTTTTAGAAATTCTTTATAATAACTTTAACTGACTATTGATCTTTCATATTTGCAGCTACATCTTGTTTTGTCTGTAGAAGTTGACTACGATCCAACGAAAACTTACAAATATACTTTCTAGTTTGTAAAAAGAGATTAAGTTATTCTTATATTTCTCAATTAGTTGGGACATTTACTAATCAGACCAATCTCATTTCATAAATTTGATTTACTCCATTACAGCAGAGTACAAAGAGTGCGTGAGATGGCTAAGCGCAACAAATTTATCGTTTCTTGGAAGGATTTTTGATTTGTTGTAGTATTGCTAATATTCTTTGGTTCTTTGTTACTGCTATAATACCCATTCATGAAAATATTATAAACTACTTGAACTGTACAGGGTGGGAATGCGACTTGGGCATAACAACAGCTAAGGATCCTTTAAAGATGATTAAATAAATTAAGTGAAGGAATTTTGCTTGTATTTGCTGAAACAGGAATGTGACCTCTGCATAGCACTAGCTATGGTTCCATTAAAGATTGAAAAATAAAGTAGTCTTAATGCATAAAGAGTCCCAATAGTTTAAAGGGGGGGAATTAAATGAAAAAAGTTTGGAATCACTGGCATAGCAACTGAAGCACTGGACTAAACTGTGTGCGCATCGTAAGTCTGTAATCCGAGTTCAAATACCTCCATCCCACCCAGGGTGTTTTAACTTACTGAGCAGGAAATGCAGAACCCCCCCCCCCAATAAAAAAAATTGTTAGATATCAGTGGATGATGCACAGTGCCTTGTTTGGAGCACACAAAGGGAAGTAAGCATCGATCGATATTCTAACTTACTGACCTTGTCTGTGTATCATTCCACCATGTAATATTCTGGCAACCATACAATGACCCTCTTCATTAATTTTCAGTGTTATACCCTGAAATACATTAATCATTTATAATATAAAAGGAGTGACACAATAGAAATCGAAGAAGATACACAAAACACTATTAAACAAGCAAATAATTTTTCAAGCAGGAAGGGAAATTCCCATATTTTTGAACAGAAAAAATATTTTTTCATGTAGAAGGGGATACTTCCTTATATCTTTGAACACAAACAATATTTTTCCGAATGGGAGAAAAAGCTCCTGCACTTTATTATCAGCATGTTTATTTTTTCAGATAGGAGGGGGGAATACCCATAAATATAAGCCAAAGTATTTTTTTTAAGTCGAATCCTATTTCCCCCACCAAAAATTTGTTCCAAATGGGTGGGAGGGGGAGGGGGAATTCCCTGATCACTCACCAATGGTTCTCCAGTTTTCCTCATGAATTGAACAAGTCTTACTCTGGTCACAGAAGCATCATCTTGTCCATCAATTTCTTCGGGATCTGGGGGCCCATTTTGGAATCCGTTCTGGGGTTCATGTTCACCCATAAGTGCAGGGGAACTGTATACCTCATGAGATACCACATCATGAGCCTGAAGGAGACCCTGAGAAATGTGGATTTTTTTTTTTAATATTTGAGGGGGTTACCCAAACTGGGCCTTTTTTGAGGAAGGGGCAAGAGCAATTACCTTCTCTAGATACCATTCACAGTAACTACATTCATTTAAAGAGAATCAGCTTATATTTCTGTAATTTTTTGACTGTATGGCATTTATTCCTTTGATTTGAGAAGAAGTTCAGAAATCTTCTCACATATCCTTATATCTTGAACTTGTCAATCCACGACATGGCGATCATAGGTTTGATGGCGAGCATGTTTTCGATGATTGATAAGATTAACTTAATGGCTGAAAAAGCATTAACTGGCCAGCGATTACGTGAACCACCCTACGAGTCAAGCAATCCTCCCTCCCATAAATATCCCCCAGGGGATTCACACCACACAAGGCAATCAAGAGTTGATGGCAAGCGTGTTGCTAACACTTAGCATCAGCCATCAAGCACTATGAAAACAAATAAACTAATTCCCACGAGAGAACAGTAATTAACTAAGTTGACCTTATCCAAGACCTAATGACTAATTAACGTGGTTGATAATGCAATGGCCCAATGGCTCCCAATCCAATTTCACCTAAGGTTAAGAATTAATATGATTGGCGCTTCGACACTTGCCATCATACATATGATTACCCATCGTGGGTTGACAGGTTCAAATCCTGTGAGAGGATTGGCCACTATGCCAGCTATGGTTTCACCACCATCAAGTCCATGCTTCTTAAAAGACAAAAAACTGGCTAACTAAACCAATACCTGGCAATGACTGGTAACCGGACAATAGGCCATGGTTCGCTATACAACCAAGCCACCTTATTAGTTATCCTTTACCAAAAAAAATCTCATTCTAGAACAAATGGTCGAATTCACTGACTCTCCATATTATAATCAACACAGACCCAATAGGCACAGTGTGTATTTAGTGTCAGCTCTTTCCTTACTAACGCAACAACAACAACAAATAACCCAATGATTCACACTTTATTTAAAAAGACAAAAATAGCGTGAATTTTAGTTGTTTTATAAAGTATTTATGAATCATACTTATTATCAGAAGCTGCAGCACATTTTGGCCATCAACATGACCAGAATACGAATAAACAAGAGAGAAATGCTCAAATGTATGGACATTGGCATATTCATAACTTTAAAGTACTGATTAGCCTATTGCTTTACGTAAAGCCATTGCACCTTCAGCGTGCCTGTGCATAAAAACCATTTCAAGCAATTTATTGACAGTCTGTAAAATACAGTACTCAGAGAGTCATAGTAGGGCTTGGTTTAAATAGGTTAGAGTCAAGTGCCTTGGTTTATGGACATTCTTATTTCATCTCATATCGGTAGCCGGATCTTAACATTAAAAAAAAAACCTACAACTGAAAGGTTAAACAACCAACACAATCACGAATAAAAATGATAAAAATTGGAATTGAATGTTCAATGAGATTGTTAGCTGGTTTGAAGGTGTGGGCCAAAGATGATCCATGTCTGAGTTGATCATCCCAGGATCTATTTATATGTTCATTATGTTGTGTAGGCGCTCCTGAAGTACAAATATGGAGGTGACTAATTTTGTTCGACTATTTTACATCAAGTTGTGTGAAGGAACTGAAATCTATGCGCAGGGGGATATTCACTTGGCTCACAAAGACAGTCCCCGAACTCGTAATAGAACTAAAATAGGGAAAATTGGAATAAAATTATGGCCTAACCCCAACCTGGTACACATGCTTCGGGAGGGAATAACGTTGTGTGGTTAATGAATCACCACAAACAGTGGAATTTCGAAGGAAGCCGAAACATATGTTTCATGTTATGAATCACAGTCGAAAGCTTACAGCATTACATGTTTGACAGCTGTGGAGTTTTCTTGAAGGGACAAATTCCAAAAATTGAAACAACTTTGAATGTAAACAAGCATTGCGTCATCATAATAGAAATCAGCCATCTTCAATTACAAACATGACGTGGCTCCATTCTAAATGTAGAACAAATTGCGTATGTTACTACGTTCACTTATTATGTGAATCCCTCAGGGATTTCTAAAGTGTGGTCTGAATTGCACGCAGAATGGGAGCCACAGCACGTGTGACATAGGCATGCCCATATCAGTATAGAAATCTTGAATTCTAACTTATATTCTCTCAGTTGTCTCTCATATATGGTTCTAGGAAATATCACTGTGTGAAAAATCGCCACAAGAGCATTTTGCTGTGAAACAAGTATTTGTGATAAAAAAAAAGTTAGGTTTTTGAAGTTACTTTTTATTTAAAAAGATTAGTTATTTGAGAGCATACTCTCTAACAATGTGAATCCAATTGTTTTTATCATAAATACCGGTACTTGTTTTACAGCAAAATGCTCTTGCGTAGATTTTTAATGTGGAAAAATTTCCATTCCGCGTATTTTCCAGACACAGTTTTGTAACGACACATATTCACGCCCTTTCCCAAATAAAACTCAATACAAGGGTTTTGTTTTGAAGAAACGTTTCACGAAATCAGTTACATCAAACAAATAATAGTTCAATTATTCCTATACCCGGCCAGGCAACCGGACAAAAGAATGCGCTTCACCATATGATTAGGACATCTTATTGACTTTCCTCTATCCCAATATAAATGCTTATTCACTACAAATTCTGTTATCAGTATTTTTCATGCAAATTACAATTCTTTTCTTTCAGCTAACATGTATGGAACATTATACACAGGAGTGAAAAGATAGCAATCTTGTTTGTCTCCAAGTGGAATGTTTTATTATATTTAGAATTACAACTGAACATGAGCCAATGACGCTAATTGTGTTGATGAGTACACAGCTATATAATCTTACAAATACCTTTGGGAATTCAGTGCGTATGTTTGAATTCAAGACCACTTCGTCGGATTTCAAACCAATATTGAAATAAATTTGAACTTTCATTGACCAATTTTAACTTGTAGAGGATCTTATGTATTAATTTTTTGGTACTCCCGTAGTATGTGTACCAGGTTAGGTCATTATTTTATTCCGATTTTTCCTTTTTTAGTTCTGTTACGAGTTCAGGGTCGGTCTGTATTAGCCAAGTGAATATCCCCCTGCCCATAAGTTTCAATCCCTTTACACAACTTGATGTAAAGTAGACGAACAAAATTAGTTACCTCCATATTGGTACACGCACTTCTGGAGCGCCAATTTTTTATTCATTTCAGATTCGACCTCCATGATTTTTTTACACCCTGCGCAAGATAGAGGTTTGACCCAGAGATGTGTAATCTGTGATACCATCTAATCTCTGAATGGCTGTTTTGCCCAGTGGCTTTAATATTTTAACGCTGTCAAAGCTGATGTTAACAAAATATTTGCAAACTTAGAAATTCCAAGTGGCCCACTAACATTTTGAATAGACAAGAGAGCTGTGCTCGAATATATGGACAAGAAATTCGTGTGGCTATTTTTTATTCTGACACATAAAAAAACGAATTTCTTGAAGTCCACAGAAATTTTTGAAATAAGTAAAAGTAATAGCCTTCTGGCAAAAAAATCAATTTTTAACCACTGAAAATTTCAAAGCAATTGGTCCAGTATTCGAAGAGAAAGGCGATTTTATCATGACGAAAGAAAAGAATAATAATACTAACAAGAACAACAACATAATATTGAAACGATCGTTATGTACACTGACGTGTCAAATAAAATTTTGCAATGTGATAATTGTGTTCATGGGAACTGTATATTCTGTGTACCCAGCTAGATGTCTGGAGTTGGTTAATTGGCCACTGACAATAAATATTGCGCACCCTTGGCCTAGTGCCTTTTTTTAGAGAAAACACAAGTAATAAAACACTAACCATCATATGGGGCTGCAGTATCACGTTCCTGAATTCCATTGTGGCTTGGTCATGTTCTGGCATCCCTGACAGTGCGTCCTTTAATAGTTGAATTACGCTCGATGACGGCTCTAAGTCTTTGGATCTGGTGTTGATTCTGTCATACAGCTAAAAAAAATGAAAAATTTATCGATGATTTATTTTAAAAAATTTAACAAAGCAGTGGTATTTAACCAAGGTTAGTATAGTTCAGGGGTTCTGCAAAGTATCAATAAAAATGAAGGAGACTATATTTCATAATGCCAGACACCCTCTTGCGGCGCTCTCGATACATGTGAACCAAGATGGTAGACGCTGGAGCCTAGTATGTGTACCAGGTTAGGGTTAGGCCATAACTTTATTACAATTTCCCTTATTTTAGTTCTATTACGAGTTCGAGGACTAGCCAAGTGACTCTTGTAGTATTTGTACCTGAAATTAGAGTCTACCGTAACCTGGTACACATAATATATTCCGGTGTTCGCCATCTTGGTTCACATACTCTGGTAGTACCACTCTTGCACACCCAAGAGTTTCATTCGTAAATACCAAAATAGCTTTGTTTCATTTTGCTCTGAACAAGGCTTTGTACAAGCAGGCTTCATTCCAAACAACAAAACCTGGTTAAGATATATTAAGAACCGACTTCATAACAAAATTTAAATTGTAAAAAGACTCTATGGGAGACCGTGTATATTTACACAATGCAGACAATAAAGTACAATTGGACTGCACATGGAGTTCATTGAGCCTCTGCTTAGAGCCCGGAAATATATGTAATATAATAGTTCTTTTATTCGTGGCTTGATACAGAAAGGCGCTGCATGGTATAATGTTAGATGCAAATCTGCTTAGAGTTTGAATTAAAAGAAAAACAGCAATTGAAACGTTTACGACGAGAGGACGGCAACAATTCAAACAGTATACTATTTAATCCGGAATGCCTAGTACTAATAATGAGAATGTATTTATAAATTTAGCCATCAGAGTTCTCTGAGACTATCAAAAGAATTTCGACTCTAGACTCGATTATATAATATAACTCAAGCGGATTATAATCATGTTTTAAGCTACCATTTATGGTAGCCCTGGATTTCAGACAATGTTATTTTTCATTCAAACAGGAGGAAAAACGGTCAAATGCATGGACAAAAAAGTACCAGTATATGTAGCATAGATTTTGATGAAAAGATCTGCAACGTAATGAAAAAGTGTTCCCTTTAAATTGTATCAACGAAATTTTAGTCAAAATAAGAGGGAGTAAGTTGAAACCAAAATTTTGAAATCAATAAGTCAATAGCCTAGGCAAAAACAGATTTTCCTCAACAAAAACCTAGGAAAACGATCGACTTCGAACATATCTTTCCAATGAATAGGGATGAAAACAATAAGAACATAAATGCGATAGCTTAGCCCCAACAACAATGAGACCATCAAAAGAAATTTCGACTCGACTCAAGACTCAACCATGAAGGAGTAAATTTCCCAAATTATAGTATTAGTTTAAGCTACCATTTGTGGTGAATTTCATAATGCATCATAAAACTGATAGAACATAAATTATGATATTCAACAGAAATTTGACTTCACAACAGAACTATAATTAGGTAGAAATTAGAACACAAATTTTCATCATGGGAAGGATCGGGAGGGGGAATTCCCAGCCAATGAAGATGCAATGGCCGGAAGATTGAGAATTCATTCATTTCGTCCAACGTGATGGTTGGGATCCACTGCCATAAAGAGTATCTAAACTTACAATTTGTCTGACATCAATCTTCCGTGCACAGCGCCGTTTATGAACAGTATTCCAGTATAACTCAGCGAGGGGGTTTTGGTGACCTATGACCCCACTTCCCCCTTCTGAAACAAGCAACGTTTTTTCAATATCATAATCCGATTTAATTTTCTTTGTTTTTGATTTCTTTCGTAAAAAATTCACAGAGCTAGATCGTCGCAACGATCTAAATACTTCTTTAACACCAAAACGACGGTTTTCACCCATTTTAGTTGAATAATAAAAAAAATTTCTGATGCAAGAAAGATAATGATGAGTAAATTTTAATAATATATTCTAGGATAGGATTCTATAGAAGGGGTGGGTAACCTGCGGCCCCAGCAGGCCACAAGAAAAAATGTGTGGCTCATGAAGAAGTGCCAATTTTGAATGGTGTGCAGCTCAAGAGACGAGTTTTTAATTTAGTTTAAGCTGATACTTGTGATAAATTCCTATTCCTTTGCATGGCAAAGCTTTTACCCGAGCCCAATTTAACACAATGCTCGATTGTGTGAAGCGAACAAAACATGTCATTAAATTTTAACCAAAATTTTTTGTGCAACTACTAAAAAGGTTATGTTAAATGAAGGTGCGGCGTGCGGCATGTGGTTCCACCCAGTTATTTGTATCTGGAACTCCTGTATTATTAAAGGTTGCACACCCCATTTTAAGTACTCAAATAAGTAGGAAAAGAGTACAGATTGAAAAGGTGCCTACTAATTCGCTCGCTGAAAAGTATGGTATTTTATCACCCGAAATACTATCTCATTCGAGCATCCTTGTGGAAACAACCATATAAGAATCCAAGCAGGAAGTAGACAATGAGTCTAAAACAGAATTGTTTTCTTTCTTTGGAAAGAGAGACACCAAACTGGGGCGCAGCCAAAACCCTGATTAGTAAGTGTTTGAAATAATACTTGCAAAATATTCTCCAAACTCTGTCAGGCAAAGGGAGGCGAGCTACACGGAACTGGAATTTCGCTGTGAATGATGCACTTTTTAGTTTATTAAATGCCTTACGTCGCCATGAATTGCACTTTTGGCGCAATGTTTTAATTTCACCGCAAACCCCCGTTAGAAAAATCCCGGCTGCTCCCCTGCACCAAGATATCAGGTCGCTTAAAAGGATCTGGGAGTCTGACTTCTGTTAGTATTCTAAGTTTGACTTTTTTTCAGTATGAATTAATGTTAGACTTCCTTATAGGTGACGCTGCTCGTTAACCATTTCTGGTTTATCGCGCCTTCCTGAAATGCATTTTTTTATCTTTCTTATGTTTGTACAATGTCTACTTTCGTCTTGTGAAAAAACCAACTACTGACTGACTGACCTATTCTTATTTATCAATCAAAATATCATCTCATTCAAGCATTCTTGTGGCAATAACCATATATGAATCCAAAGTAGAAAGTAAACAAAGACTGCCGTTCAATATAAAACACACCGCTACCCCCTGAAAAAGAATCTATTACAAAGAACAAAGAGCCTGGCACCAATTATAATAAAAGCATTGCAAGCACTTGTATCCCACATTCAAAATTAATGAACTTCGTGAATATTTGTTAGCTTGGGCAACTATGGGCCATGTGTGGCATAAGCTGACCATAAAGACAATATCTTATAAGGATTATGATTGGCCGAACATGAAATATTCATAAAGTAACTAAATATACCTGATTTACTTATGGCCTAACATAACGACTGGAAGAATATTTCACATTTAAAATTCATGAACAAACTACCTCATGCTTGGTCTTATACATACAAGGTACTAATTCAGACCAAATTGAATGGCTATCAGAAACAAGATATTCAGAAGTTTTGGTCTGATCCAGTATTGCTAAGCTAATTTTCGCCATTATGCATCTAAGCCAACCACCCAAAAACTGTGAATTTATAAAAATTTGCATATATGCGGACCCTACAAATAGTAACACGCAAAGGGTTGCAGAAGACAATTAGTGCGATCAGTTTGTTTTGGTTTCCCTGTGCTAGGTTTAATTCAACATTGCTAACCCAATTTTCACTGTTAAGTATCGCATATAAGCTGACCACCTAAAACGGTCCTAAAATTATGAATTTATAAAAATTCACATATAGGCCGACTCTACAAATCATAACATGCCGTATGCACCTACCACAGCAAAGGGTTGCAGAAGAGAATTAATGCGATCAGGTTTTGTTGGTATCGCAATCATCCCAAAAACAGTGGCCTTTTCTACCTTGGTAAAAGTAAAATACAAATCATAAAAAACTCTTTTTCAAGCTATCATAACATCTAGTTACCATTCCTCAATAGACAACATTCAAAAACCACAAAATCTTACAAAAACCTGCAAATATATTTCAATATCTATGGCCACATGTGGCCCGCATGCTTGGGTTTGGACCACCCTAAACTAGATAGACCAGTGGTTCCCAAACATTTTAAAGTTGGGAACTATTTATTACCACAACTTATGGCCCTTTTAACTTCAATAAATTAATAAAATCTTATATTTCGGGGAAACACTGTGAAAGAAGTGCTGTACAGTGTACAAAACTGCTATGCGTAAAAAAGCCACATAGTCATTATTTGAGTAGCAAATTTTTGTTTCTTCGAGAAGATCGTAAAAAGGAAACTTTCACAGATTAGAATTTAACTTCTTTTGTTTTTTTGAAGATTTATGTATTCGAGTCGCCACCGATTCTAATAACCGTATAATTAATCAAAGCTTTCTACATCTTTTCACGACCCACTAAGATTCATTTTGCCACCCACCAGTGAGTTGCTACCCATAGTTTGGGAACTGCTGAGATAGACGATGCCAAACTGAAAAATTACAGTTCTTTCAAAAACAATGACACTTTCAAAAAAGTGAAAACAACTTTTGAAAAATCTTTTTCAAGCTATCATAACATTTAGCTACCATTCCACAATAGACTGACCTCCTCTTACCATGTTACAGAACTTTTATAGAAGGCAATAAAGACATAAAAAAATCAATTCATCAATTTTTATTTTAATTGCCCTTCTGGGAAGTTGTGCAATCAATGATTGTAGATATTGACTAATGCCAATAAGCGTGATTAGTAAAAGTTTTAATTATGGATGTTAGGGACTGTGTCCGGAAAATTCGCAACAGGAAATATCGCCGCATGAGAAATCGCTGCAAGAGCATTTTGCTGTAAAACAAGTATTTGTCCTTAAACCAGTTGGGTTTATAGGGTTAAAGTATGCTCTTGAATACCGAATCTTTTTTAAATAAAAATGTACCTACTTCAAAAACCTAACCTTTTTATCACGAACACCTGTTTTACAGCAAAATGCTCTTGCTGTGATTTTTCCTATGTGGCGAAATTTCTTGCAAAAGATTTCCTACGCCAAAATTCCCTGCGTCGAATTTGTCCAGAACCGTCGGGAACATTTATCCATTTTTTTCAAGATATTTATGATACTTTCACTCAGAATAGCACTATGTGACAGCAGCCCCAGACTATTTGCATTTTCAAGCTTCAGTTCTGAACGAGGCTTAACACAAGGATATTATTTTCATGGTTAGAGATACCACTTTTGGATTTACAAATTGCATACATATTGAATAAAAAAACAACTTATGGATACAGTTTCGAAAAATTTCAATTCAAGAATATTTGATTAGGGATTCGTTTGAAAAAAAAGTATTGAGAAGTGGCCTACAAAACCCTACATAATCTAAAATCAAGTAGGTACAGCTAAGAATCCTAGTCTTAAAGATTGCCATGATGCCAAAGTCTATTTCTGAAAAAAGTAACAATGTAACATAAGGTAAATTGTTTTTATTGCGGCGATATCGCGAACCTTTATATTTCTATCCTAACCTATATCCTCCCACCTCCAACTAAATTCCAAATAAAACTTTTTTTGAATCCTTCTTCCCAGACAATGCAATTAAATGTAATTCTTAAAAGCTTTCATCAATTTCACGCCGAACTTTCATGATTGAAACTTGAATTTCATGGTTTTATTTCAATCAATATATTCAACGACAAAGCCAAACAGGATAAATTTGAATACAATGCACTGATTGAGGCCAAGGACTTAGATTAGATTTGAATTGAAATTCTATTATTTCCATGTGCCTCCATTTTTTATTCCAAATGATCAGACTGGTATACAGGGTGTCCATAAAGTCCCTTTTACAATTTCCATTTTTTCATAATGTCAGTTCTTCTTAGTCGGGTTTGTTGCTTTTCAATCAGTAATTGTTTTTAGTATTTTTATTTCATTCAATACATCTGTGAGGGCCAAAACAATATATGGTATCGATAAATTCCCCATTGCGATTTCAAAAAATTTCAAGAGTTTATGGAACCCTATATTTTGCAGTGCTCTGGCCTGGTGAATAAAGCGTTCCATAAATTTGTTCTGGCAGATTATACATCTTGAGTTTCAATTTCATGCCTCTGCCTCATCACAGGAGAACATTTAACGGGAACCATCACATCAGACAACAAACCATCATGAATTTAGTTTTTTATTTATCAAATTTCAAGGAAGGGAGATATTTTTTCTACAACACGAATTCATGTTCCCGCTACGAAAAAGGCTCTACAAAGCAATCACTCAAAAGTATGATGGTGAGAATACACACGTTTGCCCTGAAATAAGCTCAGTACCAGCTGCACACAAACAGTCCAATCACTGAGCTATTGCAATGTACCGTGACGACCGCCTAATTACAAAAGCTTTTATCGAGGACAATAATGAGCCGGGACTAATTTTGATTGACTAAGATAAAATGTTTGTTGATGAAAAATGGATAAATTTTAGGAGGAGAGGTTGACAAGGTCGGAATGTGAATATTTTTCATTCAATTCATTCTTTCATTCAATTTTGAAATTAAAAAAGCAATTTAAGAATTTAGGTGATTAAAATTCATTTTTTTAGGTAAAATAAATCCCCCAAAATTTTCGGAAGAGGTTGGTAAGGTTAGACAGTGAATCTTTCTCTTTATTTAATGGAAATTTTTTGTCCAATTTCAAATTAAATGGGAAATTTAACAATTGAAGTGAATGAAATTATTTTTTTAAAGAAAAAGTAGGCTTTTTGTCAGACCAGTGAACTTGAGTTGGGCAAATTTTCATTGAGTTTATTTTTTCAAACTTTACTCAATGCGAGTCTGAAAATTTAGTGCTTCCATAGTATGTGTACCAGGTTAGAGTTAGGCCATAATTTTATTCCGATTTTCCTTATTTTAGACCTATTAGGAGTTCGGGGGACTGTCTGTGTTAGCCAAGTGAATAAACCCCATGCCCATTTCAGACCCTTTACACAACTTATGTAAAGTAGGCGAACAAAATTAGTTACCTCCATATTCGTACACATACTTCTGGAGCGCCAAAAATTCATCAATTTTCACAGTTGGAATTTCGGACATCCAACTGTGAAAATCAAAGAATTTTTTTTTAAAGGAACTCAAAATAACAGAGTTGAATGAGCCTTTTCAACACTATTAAAAAAAGCTCGCACATGGCCAAAGTTTCTGAAAAAAATTTTGATGGAAAAAGGATGAATTTTAGTAAGAGGTTGGCAAAGTTAGATTGTGAATCTTTTTTGGTGCTCCCGTAGTATGTGAACCAAGATGGCGGACACCGGAACGTAGTGTGTGTACCAGGTTGGGGTTAGGCCATAATTTTATTCTGGTTGTCCTTATCATAGTTCTATTATGAGTTCGGGGACTAATCAAGTGACTCCCGTAGTATTTGTACCTGAAATTATGACCTAACCCTAACCTGGTACACATACTAAGATCCGGTGTTCGCCATCTTGGTTGACATCCTACGGGAGTACCTTTTTCTAATAAAATAAAACAAAATAAATCCCAAATTTTCACTTCCTCACAGAGCGGTGGATTAAAGCACTCCAATGGGTTGAAAACGGTACCATTATATTGTGTTTACATTTGGGCTTCCCTTTGGAATATGAAGTAGAAAAACTTATTATAAAAAAAAACAATAATTGTAGCATTTTGCATCTCATATTCTTGAAGAGTTCTCACAGAGCTGCTCTGCTTCAGTGAAACTTTTTCAGACTGTTTTCCTGATATATTTTGCACGGGTACTTTAAGAATATTCTTTTACTCATCAACCATTATGCCCTAATACTTCCTTTATGGCTTTTCAGAAGCAAACACCAGAGTTCTATTCAGCGAAATCACGCTAAAGAGCGCACTCTAATGATATTTAACATATGCGACCTAATGCCTAAAAACAAATACCCGCCTCATAAATGTGTGTCTCGTGATCACTAATATTACCTTTAGTCTTAACATATTCTAGCTTATCTTTCCGACAAGAAATAGTTAATTCAGCGAAATCACGCTAAAGAGCGCACTCTAATGATATTTAACATATGCGACCTAATGCCTAAAAACAAATACCCGCCTCATAAATGTGTGTCTCGTGATCACTAATATTACCTTTAGTCTTAACATATTCTAGCTTATCTTTCCGACAAGAAATAGTTAAATCACCAAGCTCGCAAAATAATGCAAACCTTTCAATGAATAGTTTATTTAAAAAGAACAAAAACCAGCGCACAGTGCAATAATAGCACAATATAGCACCTTGGAAATCAATAAAGTAAAGCACAAGTGAGCAATGCTCAAATATATCCGGAACATAGAATAACTCCCTCGACCGTTTTACACAGTTAAATATCATCATGAAGAATAATGTATAGATACTCTGTTGGATGTCATATTTAATGTTCTCATGTCACATAAAATGTGTTCCCATACAGAAAAATATGACAGCAAAATATTGGGTGAAATAACAGGCCTGGGAAACTAGAAAGAAATTGGCAAAAAAAATGAAGTAATAGCCTTTCAACGACTTCTTACAATATTTGAAAAAATGAAATCTTTGGGTCTGTTAGTAGCAGAAAAAGTGATTTTTTTCCAACAACAACTTCAATAAAACGATCTATATGAGTTTTTTGACCAAGAAATCAACAAACCTGTACCGTCTGACCATTTTGGGAACCATTTAAATATTAAATTAATTTTAGATAAAACCAGATAACAAGGAACATTCGTAGAAGAAGAGTTTATTATTCATGAAAAATAAAGAAAAAGGCACTAGGTGGGGCAGTCTGTTTAGAAGACAGAGGGCAGGAGGGTTAATTCATGAAAATTTGACCCAACAAAGATTCAAATATGAAAATCTTGAACTCCACAGAAAAATCATAAAATAATGCAGATTATTAATTAATTTAATTAATTTGACATTTGCAATGTATTTAATCGTCATTATAGAAAAATAAAATTTAAATTCACTCGGGTAAGAGGAAAGCTGATAAGACGACCCGATCGTATGGCGAACAACGCCTCCTGTCCGGTTACCAGTCTACCCCAGGTATTGGATTAGTTAACCAGTGTTTTGGGGATGTATGGACATTATTATGACGGAGGAAGCCATGAACAGTAAATAATTGTCATTGAAATGAAAAGTTTTCATTTTTATCCTGTGGGAGAGGAAAGCTGATATGATGGCTTAGTCATACGGCAACCCACAGCCTCTTGTCTGGTTACCATCCGGTCCGGTCCATGGACTTGATGGTGGAGTCGGAAGAGTTTTCGTCTTTTTTGCTCAGAAGCAAGTTTTTACAGTTTATTTTGTACATTCTTTCACTCCTTGCACCTCTGTTTTATATAAAACTTGACTCATTGCACCACTCATGTCAGAGTGCTAGTGCTGGACTCGCTACTGGAAGAGAATCGTCGAGATAAGAGACGAGATTGTAAGATATCTGTTTCTGTCAGACCTGTGGGAGGAATTTCTTCTGTTTGCAGTCCGAGGAATTTACGCAAAGTATGCGGGCTGTGCGTAGCATGACTCCCTGATCCATCTAGTGGTGGTACTTGTAAGAAACCAGTCGGATTATTAGCTCCAACTAGTGTTGAATGATGGACATGGTTTTCCGTTAAATGTTCTCCGGTGACATGAACCATTGGCACAGTGATAAACTCGGTTGTCCCAGCTTGCGGGGTAACGGGGTCTTCAATGGGGCTAAGGACGTGACCCGGGGAGGAAGCTGATGCTTTTTGGTTTTCTATATGCATTGTTGTTTTATATGACATGTGGGAATTTCCCTGATTTGCATAGTTTGGAATGGCAAGAGAAATTGGGGGAATTCCCGGCTCATATTTTCTTTGTGGGATTGGGGAGGATCCTTGTGATCGAGCTCTCTGCTTCCCTCGCCTGAGAAAAAGAGGTTTCGACGTTGCAGAAACGCTGCGAGTGCGTTCCCTCTCCAGATTATCATCTAGTCTACGAGAGAAAAAAGGGGAATACCCTCCAAAATTCCTCCCTGATGAGAGATCGTCATTTGAAGAATTGCTCGAGCTGTCGCTGTCAGTCGACTTTCGCCACGGCAAACTTGAAAGTAAATGTACGCGTTCATCGCAAGTCACATCAGATTTATCGCTCTCAGATACAGCATGATGGCGCCGTGATTCTGTATGATGACGTCGTGAATCTGTATGATGGCGCCTACGGTGGTGATGATGCTTTGGTTCAATTTTCTCCGAAGGACAAGAATGCACTTTTCGTGAGAAGACGGGTGATTGTTGGTACCTACGAGAAATACAACAATAATTTTGAATTTTGAAGACTAAGATTACATTCCCAAATGGCAGGGACTTTCCCTCCTTCCTGGGGGTGGTATTTTGAAGGGAATCCCCCTTTTGAAACATAAAGGGCATTTTTCTGTATCAAACATAGCAATTTTTCTTTGCTTGAAACGCTTTTTAGAACCTCATGACTCCAGAAAACCGATATTTTCCAATTGGCAAATTAGAAATTTCAGAACCCCCCCCCCTTGATAAATTCCTAGCTATGCCACTGTTCAAAGTAGAGGCTGCTTGCTTAAAGCCTGGTTCATAGACACTCAAACCAACTCACCTATGCGGCGTTTTCTTTTGTGACGTCTGCAATTGCATGACGCTGTCCCATCTCTTTTCATAAGACGGTTCAAATCCAAAAGCACTTTTTCTATGCTTTGCAACAGGTGACGTAACTATTTCAGTCATTGACGACGCCATTATTATTTCTGAAATTAAAAAAACAAGGATTTGTTATTTGACATGAAGTTGGTCTGTGGATCAATCTGTTGAATTGTGGTTGTTGAGAAGACCGCAACTTATAAACCAAGTGATTTGGAAAAGTACTTAAAGAAATTCAAAGTTATTTGAAAGCTACTGAATTCCTTGTGTCCCGTGGGACTCAATATTCCACTCAAAAGTTTTGCTACTAGCCTCAATATATATCACCAGCCTTCCTAAAGATGGTTGGAGTCACAAGAAATATAAACCTTCATTTTTCAAAATTTTCTCTAAGTATCAGGGACATGATATTTTACATAAAATTGTGCTTCTAGCCAGTGCATATCTAGTGTCTTACCGAGACATGTGTTTGTGGGAAAAGCACTTTCATTGCGAACTATTCGATCAAGCAATTTAGAATTTTTATCACTTAAAAGTGGTTTGAGTCGCTATTTTATTTTATTCAATTTCCTTAAACTTCCGCGGAACCTACTATTGCACTCAAAATGTGATTCTAGGTTGTATATATCAGTACTTCCCTGAAGTCCCTAGAAAACTAATATCCTATTATTTGCAAAATTGTTTTTTACTCAACGTAACTTAGCTCAATGAAGTCCCGTGATTGCAACACTTTTCTGGATATGTTTGACAAACATGCAGATCTATTTATACCAGTCTCCACATGACTAAGTTTAATTATTAACTTTGGGACACGTGTTACAGAATATAACCATTTAGGAGAGAAATCTAGAACCTTCAAAAGTAGCTTTTTTTTTGTCTCGGGCCGAAAGACAATTAATCTTCTACTGTGGGTACTTTCCAAGATAATATTTCTATGTTATATCTAAGTATATTAAACATGGAAATATAGTTTACGAAATATAGGATGAATTTGGAAAGAGTATGCTTAATAAAAAATGTATATTTAATGACTTTAAATGTGGTAAAGTTGAAAAAAACAATAATTAGATTTACTTAGATCTTAAATCTTAGGCAATTCTAATGAATCTTTCACTTCTGAGTGAGTGCATATGAGCATTGCCTTGACATTCTGTTAAAACTGCAAAATATATTTGCATACATGCGTTAATGATTTGGTTTCTGTGGGATTAACTACTTATCCTCCTTCTATGCTTTTGTGTTGGTCGTATGCATATAATGCAAGGATGTTGTAGCAAGAGTAAAAATAACTATCCTAAGTGATTTATTAGTCTTGCTGCACACTAACACATATACATTTCTGTAATGCTGTCTTACCAAAGTTTAACTATGTATAACTGAAAAAGTCTGACTTTGATCAGACGAAATACAGAAACACATTTGTGTTGGTGTGCAGCAATCACTTAATATATTTGCATAGTTCAGCAAATTTGCAGCCAGCACAGCAGGAAACAATCCTCCCATGGCAATAAAATTTAAGGAGCTCATTATCTTCAATAAGCTATGATATTTGTTATTGAGTTGAAAAGTCGGACAAGCTTAATATCACATTGAACGAGCATAAATTATAGATGGGCCTGAACTATCATAAATCATTATCTGTGGGCCAGTTCAGGTCATGTATGATATTAGTGACATATGAGCATATTCAATTATATTGGGAAATTGTCTGAGGTTGCAGAAATTTTATGACTTAATTAACTCCAACACAAAAGTTTCTGGAAGATATTGTGTCAGTGTGCAGCAAGACTCTTGAATCACTCATGGTTTTTTACAATGCGCAAGTACATGCTCAACACATGGTCACTGACACTTAAATACATACTGTTTATTTTATTAACAGGAATGCGCTCAGATTGCTGACGGATGAATACAGAAATATATACATTTATGTTAAGATACCAAAAATCACTGTTTTTCACTACAATGTTTTTTTTTTGTCGCAAAACTTATTTATTCATATTTGTTATATATTTTATGAACGGCACACATTGCGCAAATGTGTCTTAGGCCAAAAAAGGTGTTAGCTCTGGCTCTGCTTTCCATTGGTATAATATTCATTAGACAGGGATTACAATGCTAATGCTAAATATTTGATTGTGGGAATTCTCTACAACTAATGACACAAAATATTTCAGAATCTATGTCGACATGAAATATAGCATCCAACGTTTGTTTCTGGGTTAAAGCATTATACAGATGTTGTAACATTTTGGAACAAGTTAACATACTATTTAGTAGTTTGAGATTTTGAGAGTAAATGGGAGAAAAAAAAGTCCAAAATAACAAACTTTTGCCTGTATAGAGGAGCATTGTTCAGAGAATAAGGAATATAATACACAGTGAATAGTAATATAAGAAAAAAACAAAATGAAATCTCACCTTAAAATGGTTCAGTCTTCACAGTAGAGAATCCTTTTCCAACAAGTAATGGCACAGTGAAACGGCAAATCCTTCTCGAAACTTTTAAACTATCATTTACATCTATGTGTGTCTAGTAAACTATAAGAATTATTCAATCATTATTCAGTGTATATTACCAATATTTCTAGAATACCAGTTTCTATACTTGCTTGACTGAAGTTTAGTTGGAACGATCTGATAAAACTGGATAATCTGCCATTCAATATACGTTCTAAAACTCTGCTTATAAATATATTCTAAAAACTTCAGCTGAAAATCAATAGAATTAAAAGAAAATTAGTGGTGGGCAAAGAGCAGGACAGTATCCAATCTACCTCGCTCTTTCTAGCAAAGACTGTCCTGTTCTATTGTAGTCTTTGCAAAACCTACAATGGTCAGACATGCTTGGCCATTGATGCCATGTTGTTTACTTATGTCTGGTTTCCTGTTGCTTCCATATTATAATAGAAGACTGAACAGCAATGATAGTCTGTGGTAGTTTATTTGTTTATGTACATACAGGGTGTCCATACAGTCCCTTTACAATTTCAATTTTGTTATGAAGTCAGTTCTGAATATTATTTTAACCAGGTTAATTGTTTTTTAATCAGTGAATGTTTAAGTATTTTTACTTCATTCAATACATCCGTGAGGGCCAAAACAATATACAGTATCGATAAATTCCCTTTGCAATTTGAAAAAGTTTTAATCAAACTTATTTTATTTTAACTAGTGTAATATTCAAGTTTTTTAGACTTGGCTCATGGTACATAATAAAGTTCTGTGAAAACCGCATTTTTCTAAAAGTTTGGTAAGGTTAAAACCAAAACTAAAACACGTACAGCTTCCAAAGATAGACCAAAAGATAGTCAACAATACCAGAAGATCAAGCTACTTTGATTTTACTGTGGGCAATGTAGTGAACTAAAGCAGGGCTTTTCAACTATTACTCTACCAAAGATCTATGAACAAAACTTCAATATTACTGGAATCCGGTCTTTTTTAGAAATTATATGTCAGCATCTTTAATAGGGCACTTCCTCGGCGTGACAGTTCATATATAGTCAAGGCAAATATGATCAAATTATAAAATAAACTTTAAAATTGTAATAATTTAATTTAATAAAATTTATTAAAACCTTCATTTATCAAAACCTTCACATATCCAAAATTGGGCCAATTATCCCAAAAAAAAGGTACGGTCCAAATCAAATACTTGAAAGATCCGGATTCGGACTGAAATTCGCCAGTCGAGTAGCTTTGAATTAGAGCCTGAACGTTCAATTGAACCACCGCCAATGAAGTCAAGGGCTAAGATAAGAGCTATTTCGCAATCCTAGTTCTCAAGGGAGAAATATTTATAGACATGATTATGAATTTGGTTTGGTAATTGAAAGCTTATTAGAAATGAAATAATAGTTCAAATAAAGTTGATGATATTGGAAAGATATTTTGCTGTTCTATGCTGTTTTGAAATCAATACGAGGTAGTCTTATAAGCATTCATTAAAAGCACTGCAGGGGTTGGGCTAATATCATTATAAATTATTTTAACTCTAATAAATTAAAAACCTTTTTAAAACTTGACTTAATATTAAATTTTACCTGTGGTTCTCTATAGTTCAGTGAAAATGGATAAGTTCCCTTTCGAGGGAATCACCTATTATGGAACACTTTTACGTAGGAAAGTACATGTCACTCATATCAATGGGTTTCTTTTTATGAACTCATAAATTGGACTTTGATATACTATTGTGAGTCATGAATGCTCCCTGCATTAGCCAATCACATGGCCCCATTGATGATTAGAAGAAGATACATATTACAAGCACTTTGTGCATTTTACGTGACGAAAAAAATAGAAAATTAATTTGCAATTTTTCAAGAGAATCTTGCATTCTGATTGGCAAACATTTCCTGGCTATATTTAATATAAAGAATATTCATTTCCACTATTTTGTAACGTCAAATTAATTCTCTATTAATGATTTTTGCACATTTATTTGCCGAAGCTACTAATTTAGAGTATTTTCAATATTTCATATCTTCAAATATTTTTTCAGAACATATTCGGAATAGTAGATTGTTGGGTTTTAGCCATTCCTGTGTGTATGGGAACCGACTAAGGTTACTATTAAAAAAAGATTCGAGCATTTTTGATAGTTTGGTCTGATAGAAAAGCCTATGAATGAATATAGAGTATTACCTAAAATCAAGATCAGGCACAGCTTTCGGCAAACAAAAAAAGAAAGAAGATTTATAAAAATAGGATACAAACTACTTTATTTCTACTGATGAAAATATGATTTACCAAATACTTCATTTTCCTATGATGCTAAATGTTCAACACGAGTGCACGTCTACGATAGGATTTCCATGTTTATCCCAGAATGAGGAAAGCCAATAAGGCGACTTATCACTGACGTGGCGTACCACTGCGTCATATTTTAACTTCTAAAACTGCTTCAGGGTATGCCGAGTCGTGTCGTGTAATACACATTAATTGATGATTATGCGATTTCCTGCTATTGACACGACATACAGGAAATAACAAGATTATCTCAGAGACAAAAACAATCTGTACAAAACCTAGAACATTCCCCCCCCCCAAACCCTCCAATCTATCAGCCACCGTATATCATTTACAAGTGGTTGGTAACAGATTTATTTATATTTGCTATTTTTTTGTTCCAAAATTTTCTCTAAGTTCTTTTTTACTGAATAGACAAGCACTTCTGGCATCAGGGCTACCATTTCACAATTTTAAATTATTATTTAAATTTATAAACCAGAATTACAAATTCCTAACTCAAATTTTAAAAACATTTTTTTATTTCCTCAGCACTAACCCCACAGCACTAACCTCATTTTTTTAAGTGAAATTATATTCAACGTATTATGTGTAATGTCAGAGTGTGTCAAAGGTGGTTTTTATGAGAAAAAATTAAATGAATGAAAAATATAAAATGAACAGAACACTCCATAAATTCCCATCATATTTATGGCTCAATTTGCCAAATCATAAAGTACAAAAAAAAATTAAGCTGCTACTCTGCTTATTCATAATAGCATATGTGAAAATGGTAAGGCAAAATGAAAAGACAAAAAATAACCTGGACTTGCTTTCATAAGCCAACAGACAGACAGACTCAAGTGAAACAGATTATCAAACTACTGTGGTTATGAAAAATTAATAAGATAATAAAAATTAAACACAATCATAAACACAATTTGCAGAATTCAGGTTAATTTCAAAGACAGTTAGTTTATCTCTGCAATACCATAATAATCTATACATTATAATAAGCTCACAGGCAGACCCAGTGAAAACAGATTATCAAACAAGTTATGGGGAATTAACAGAGTACCCAAGTTATACATATTTAGGAACCAAATTTGCAGAAGCACTTATGTTTCAAATAAAATTAAATCCTCAGCACTAACATAAAAGCCTATAAATTCTTAAGCTCACAGCTGCTGAATGAAACTGCCACGCTGTTCGCCTCCTTTATATATGTGAAGGTTGTTATTGTCTCTCTGTGACATCAGACTAAATCAGGTCATGATTGAACGATTCTCTCCTATTTTTAAAAGTTTCATCTCATTTTAGAGTTTTGTTACACTGCAGTGTTCCCATTGAATATTTGTCACAATAATGATAGAGACATCCCAAAACCAAATATGGCAACTAAATAAATATATTTTGTTATTCTTTTGATACAAATTTTTGAATTTGAATTTTGAATTAAGTTAAGACGCAGTTGAAGTCCAGTTTCCTCAATTTATCTTAATAACAAGCATTATTGTCTTGAGTGAACCTTTTCCTAAGCTGAAATAATCGAAGGCAGCAGATCAGAAAATAAGTAGTGAGGGAATACCCTACCCCCCAACTTGCCATAATCAAATCTAAAAAAAGGTTAGATAATTAGGAAAGTCTGTCTCAGAACTTTGTAACAACAGAATATCATTGGCTGCTAAAACATTCAAAATGAATTGCAAGTGCTGTTGAAATCATGCAAGGAAAAGTCAAAAATGACAGCAGACTGTCTAAATCGTAATTAACTTTGGATGGCTTTATAAGTTTGCGCCAAATTTTAATTTACCTAGAAAACTGAGTAGGCCATGGTAAATTAGTGAACAATTCACCTTAGAACTTTGTTATATCAGGCAAACATCGTCTAAGATTGTCAAAATTGCAGATGTAGGTTGGATGAAACTGCTAGTACCATGCCATCTTATCAACTTACTTCTCACCACTAGACAAATATGAAATCTATCTCAATAAACTCATAATGAGATGAACTGGCTAGGTTCATGAACTGAATTAAACTCAAAAAGTGAACACGGAAACTGAAAGTGCACACTGTATTGAATTCTAGGGAATGAATTAAAAACAAAGTAGAGTACGTGCATAAGTACAACAGTTCTCTCACTTACATATGACGCACAAACTTACTAATACTTTAGAGAAATAACTTGTTTAAAATTTGTTTTGATGCAAAGTCAATTTGTTACGACATTTGGTTACCAGTCTGTTGACTTTAAAACTTGTCCATTCGTGCCAATATGGCTGTGCTTACCGTTTTGCGATTGAAAATGTTTTTAAGAGAATTTTTATCAAAGCAAGGTCACACAAACTCATTCAGAAGTAAAGGGACTCGTCTCTGAGCAAAGTTACGGGCACTCACTCAAAAGTGAAGAAGACTCATCTTTGAGCAAAGTTACAGGCAGTCACTCAAAAGTAAAGAAGACTCATCTCTGGGAAAAGTGGGGCATTCTCTGGGCATCCACTCAAAAGTAAAAAAGATTCATATCTGAGGAAAGTTACTGGCACTCAATTAATTTTGAATTATATCTAAACTACCCTTGGGCATTCACCAATGTCGCAGGTTCAACCCGAAAGGCGAAGTTTAGGAAAACTGTTTTAAGAAAATGAAAAAAAATGAAATTTTTGCTTTTTAAAACTTTGAACTTTCCATCAGAATATTTTATGAATATCGATTCAAACTTTGATTAGAAACCAGCTTTGAAAGTAATTTTTTTGTGCACTTTCCACAAAATTTAAAAATTTGCCCTATTTGCCCAAAACTTGAAAATATGACTTGAC